TAATTAGTATTTTTTATTGCCGCTAGATGTAGCTGTATGTCTGTTATGGTGAAATATATCAAAAGTTAAATATGTTTACCTTCATTCCTACCCAGTGTTTTTTATTTTTCCTAGGTGGGTGTTGAGCAATGAAATGTCTCTTTAACTGCCTCATTTGATATAAATAAATGCAGGTGTTCTCACTGGTGCTTTTTATTTTTACGATATAGAAGGATAGATGTTCTATCTTTAGAGTTTTCTTTTTAATTACTCTTAGATTTTTCCTTTTTTTTTATTACTTTTAGATTTTTCCAGCATTGAGATGAATATTTTGTATCGTAAGCAAAACCCATTTTTTTTTTTTAATGGCAAACCAAAGCAGTATCTGAAAGTAGAATATACACAAATGCCAATTCGTTAGTGTTGAGTAATGTAATAGCTCTTACTGGGTCATTTTATATAAACAAATGCACATGTTCACAATGGTCTGGAATACTTTTTAATTTAATTTATTCATTTTTCTTATTTTTATATCCAGTGGAGTACATGTTCTTCTCTTAGCAAAACTTTTATTTTATTTATTTATTTATTTTTTGTTTGTTGCTGTTTTTAAATGGCAAAACGAAAAGCACTATCTGACCGTAGAACAACATACACAAATGCTAAATGAGTCAAATTTGATGAGTTAAATAGCAGCAGATATTCTATTCCTGTGACATATGCAACGTTGAGTACACATGTTTCAAAGAATATTGTCTCTTTTTCAATTGTCACTGTCTCTTTTTCGAAATATTGCTTCCTTTCCGTTGCTTGCATGTTGAATTTTTATGAAAGACAGTTTTAATATTTTTTTTTATTTCAATTATGTGTTGTGTTAAATAAAATCTGTGATTGTTTGGATATTTTTCCATATATATTTATTTGTTGGATAAGGGAAAAATCATATTATTCTAGAAGGAGTATTTTATAAAATTTTTAACGAAAATATAATAATAAAGGTTTAAAATTAATTCTGAGAACTACCTGAATGTTCTTCTCATAATGTACCAAAAATTGGAACAATTGAATGAAAAATTTAATTTACACAAATTTTTTTCCAAAGTTAGGCTTAGCAGCACGAATTGCCCATCCCTATGAGACAACGTATCCGGTTAACACACCATCCCAAGACAACGCTTCACTTCAGTAACAGAGATACCCATTGTGAATGGGTTAGAGGATTCTACCATGTCTTTAGTGGGTACTTATTGCACAAGACACTGCATTTAATTAAATGACACTTTATTATATACAGAACACATCATCACTCACATATACACTCCTACTACTGGCATACTCTATCTCAATTCTGGTTTACAATAACTCCACATGCTTGGTGATGGTTGGCATTGCGCCAGCTTCAAGTTTGATTACGATTTAGTTCTCGATATACCACATCCCTTCCCCTTTATCACAAGTTCAGTCTATTTGGTGATCATCGAATTCTGGTGGACCGATGCAAAGATTGTGGCACAGCTGCTTTCTTTGGTAACCTTGGTTGTATCAGCAGCAGGTACAGTGGATGGAACATCTGGTAAAACCTTGGGCTCAGAAGACGACACAAACTTGTCTATCTGGTGGCTATTATCATTGGATAGTTCTGGAATTCCACTCTTATCTGGCTCTTTGGAAATCGCAAGAGCTGGAGGTGGACATATGCAGCTATCATCAATTATGGTTCCTCCATCATGGATCTGAACGACATGTCACCTCCATAGCTGACCATTTACATTTATAGTGTAATGAAAATGCTCATCATTGAATTTAGATGGTTCCAGATTTCCATCATCTGTCTGTCACCTTGGCAATAATTTCTTACTGCCACTTTATAGCCAACTCTAAATCCTCAGTCTTCAAACTCACAGGTTCCTTTTCCAACTCTGCCTTCCACATTCCTTTTGAGATCTGGTCTCAGTAAGTCTATTCTTGTTCGAATTTCCCTCTTCAACATCAGCACTGCAGGGCTCTGTAGAGTAGCTAAATTCAGAGCTTTTCTGTACTGCATTAAAAATGTACTGAATTTTTGTCTCAAAGTTCCTGGATAATTTTGCATGGTCCTTAAGAACTGCTTTACTGTACACACATACCGTTCAGCCTACCAATTACTAGACAGTTTAAATGGTGCTCTAGTTTTACATTTGATTCCATTACTCTGTAGAAATATCTTAAAACTCATGTGAAGTGAATTGTGGTTCATTATCACTCACTAACAGCATTGGTAACCCAAATCATGCAAAAAGAGTCCTGTAATCATTCTATTGTTTAGAAAGTTGAACTTGATTTCTTTGGGTAGGCTTCAAGTTATTTCAAGTGAGCATCGACTATTATCAAGAACATATACTCAAAAATAGATTCCGCATAATCGATGTGAATACGTCCCGTTGGAGTGCTCGGGTACTTCCAATGATGAGCCCTTCTTTACCTTCAGAAAATCTTGCACATTCAAAACAGGCTTTAGAGGTATTTTTGATATCTTTATACCGTTTCAAAATACGCAAGATCTAGCAATTGCTTTCATCTTTACAGTCTCTAAGTGTCTGTGGTGCAACTTTTTCAAAATATTCTCAAGGTATTGTTTTGGAATACAAACGCATTGGCCATATATTATATAGCCATCTTGGAGACTGTACTCCATCTCCTTTTCTTTCAATTCACTGCCGCTTTGAAGTATTCATAGCAAAGGACCGAGTTCTGCATCAATTTCAGTTTCTTTAGCCAAATCTCTGTCCGTAATGTGAAGAGTTTTAATCAGCTGTAATTAAAAAATAGTTACATTATCATGAATAGACAGTAGCTATGAGTTAGTCGGTAATCGTGACAGAAAATCAGCATTACCCTACTTGTTTGTTTTATGGTAAATAATGTAAAATTGGAATGACTGTAAAGCCAAGGTGTAGAGCAGGGGTCTTGCAGCTGCCAAAACTGGCATGCCTTTCTTTGAGCCAAAAATTGCAACAAGAAGTTTATGATCTCTAATTAATGCAAATTTTCTGCTTTTTAAGGACAGGAAAAAATTTTCCATTCCCCAGACGATTGATAAGACTTCTTTATCAGTTTGAGAATACTTTTTTTTAATTACAATTAAACTATTTTTTAATTTTTTTGAGAAACAGAAATTGACTTGAAAACAGAAATTGAAAGAAAAGTCTTGAAATCAATCTCAATTTATCTTTGAAATCCACTCTTGACCAAATATTGTATCAAGATTTTCTTTAACAATGTAAAGCTTTAAGTTTCTACTTTGACCTTTACATTCTACATTAACTGTAGTAAATTCTAAAGGCATCAATTTTTCTCCATTATATGTTTTGAATACCAGACTTGTATTTTTAATTTTCTTTCTCGAAATTTTTCAGAAATTTTTCAAACTCATTACCGATACTGCACTCCTTGTATCCTGTTCCATAGCTACCGGTTTTCCTTCTATGTTCACTTGGACCATTATGGGCAGTTTCCTATTTTTCACCTCACTGAAATGAATGCTGTTTATAGGAACTGTGTTTTCATTTCCTACATGTAATTGTTTTTTTTTTTTTTTCTCTTTCATTTTTTCAGCGTTTTTAGCGTTGTAGCATGCCCTTTCAATGTTCCCAATTTTCTTACAAACCTGCAGATACTTGTCTTAAATTTACAAGAATTTCTATCATGGTCAGTCCCCGTACGTTGCAAACACAATTTGCCTTTATCACTCTGAGCTGCGAAGTTTTCTTTTTCAAACTTTTGTTTTGGAGCGACTGACTTGGATTTACCTTTATTCCTGGCTCTAAATTCCTTAATTTCCACGGGTTCCACTGGTCTGGGAACTGGTGGGTTCAACATTGATGAGGAAAGGATCTCAATTACAGGACATGACTCACCATCCTAGATATTGAGTCTGGTTAGGGACCCATGAGCCGACAGTATTTCTTTCAATGTGAAAGGACTATCAATAAGTTCGTCAAGAACAGAATTGGAAGATTTATTTTTCCACCAGTGGGTGCTATTTATGACCCTATCAGGTTTCTTGGACCATTCATCATAAAGCTGAAATACATTCTCCAAGAACTACAGAGTCATGATCTGGACTGAGGCAACAAACATTCACAAATGGCAGATGTGGTACAGAAGTATAGCTCTAAGAAGATCTCCTGATCTCCTACAGGTTATTTTCCCAATTTTAATCGTAAATTTATTTCATTTGAAATTCATTCTTTTCCAGACTAATTATATAGTTTGTTAAAAACTTCAAAAGCGACAAATGGTTGCAGGTCCTCGCACAGCAGAATTTCAGAGTACAGAAATAAGATTGGGTAAAACATGAGCAAAGCACTAATTGGATTTAACTTCGAATTACAGAACACCAAAAATGGTATATAAACCCCGTAAAAGAGCTGCAAATTCATTTTCTGGAATCGATGTAAATTCACTCAGTAAAGTGAATTGGTTCTTTAAATCAGTTCTGGAATGGATTGTCCAATTCCAGAACGTATATTTGAAAGTTCTCCAACAAGCCTACCCCTTTTTTCAACTCTGGTGGTGACTACCAACAGCTTCTTCTGCTATTTGAATTAAATTTAAAAAATAATAATTCCTAATAACAGATGATAATCTTTCATTACATGCAAATGATTCAACAAAATTCATATGAGTAGGAAGCAGGGAAAGAATATTCTTTTGCACCTGTGGTTCATCGTACCGTATTAAAACATATAAAGAGATACATGCAAGATGAGAAAGAATATTATAATTTTTTTTTTTTTCTTTTTGCACTTATTTTATTAATTGAAGAACAAGCAAAACAAAAATTTGGTAAACATTCATATACTAAATAAATAACAGATTATATTAATTATGCTATATTACTGAAATATATGTATTAATTGCATAAATAACATGATCCATAGATTCATTGTTCAACAAAAACTCTAATTAAAAATTTTTCATTACTACAAAATTATAATTATGCATTAATAATAAATTTTTATACAAAATGAGAAAATTACTTCATCTTCCACATATTGAAACATGCCAGGAGTATTGTACTTTTCAGGATTGTCAAGAAAGACAACCATTCCATCTTTTTGGTTAATGGAAGCAAAGATCTGACCATCTTCAATCTAATAAAACATATTAAAGCTTGAATTTATTTACGTTTTATATTACATAAACGGCACATAATCATAAATCACTTTCCTAATTTTAATATAAAAGATATAATTTTTTAAATATCTAATGCCAACCTTAAAAAAAAATATATATATATATATATATAGAATCTCAAAATAATACACTGTAAAATTCTTAAAAATTCACTTTAGTACTTCAAAGAATTTTTTGGTTATTCCAAATAATTATTAAATTCCTTAAAATTCTAAGGTATGATATGCACTCATAAATTCTATAAATTTCATACATTTACAGGATAAATTCTCAAATTTCTTTAAAATGGTAGGATATATTTTACATTTACACTTTTATAAAATTTTCTTACATTTACCGAAGCAATTCTTGTATATTATCAGGACCAACCTATTTTTCAACCATGAAAAATATGTATGAACATTTATTTCAGTGAATAAATTGTAATCCGAAAATTTCAAATTACAATCTTGAGGAATATAATCGTTAAAGTTTCCAAAACATTACCAAGCATATTTTTAAATTTATCTTCTGCAATTGCATAAAACCAAAGTAATGAGTTAAAATTAACCTAAAGTCTTGATAACCTACACATTTTTGATATTTTTCACAATACCCAGACGATATAATTAGCAGTAATGAAAAGGTATAAATAATCTCACAAACTGCAGGACATTCAGAATTTATACATAATATTGCAAAAGTTGGAATAATGTGTTGAACCATGCTGTTAACATAAATAACAAGAAAGCTCTAAATTTTACAAGTTAAATTATTAGTTAAAATCTCAAGTTAAATTATTACATATTTTTACATGTCATTCTATACAACCTGATTCCTTGGTTAAAATTTAAAATTTTGTGTCTATGCATAATTACCTAATTGTGTCTATGCACCAGAAAATTATGCTAATTTCAAAATACAGTCAAAAGTCGTTAATCCGGATGTCCATAATCTGGACCTCAAAGCTACAAACTTTCTGCGCATGGACGGTATAAGTTAAACTAAAATTAACTAAAATTATCTAATTATCTATTTCAGTTAATGTTGCAGATTGCGTTGTTCCTTAATCTTCGAATTGGATCCGGCTTATTATTTTTTGCAGACTGTTAAAGCAATTTTATAAAAGTAAGCTTGAACTTTCGATTATGTCAAAAAGAATTTCCGATTCTGGAGCTGCCAAAGGATCTACAAAGCCAAAGCATGTTTCGATGTCTATCAAACAAAAAGTGGAATTGTTGCAAAAAATGGATAAAGGCATATCCTTTGTTTTTCTAACCATTCCGAAATCTGTTTATCAATTTCAACGCTGCTCTGCGGGGGTGGGGGGAAATGTCGCGGCGTGCAATGAACTGGAAGTTGATCTGTCAGCACTATCCTTATCTTCAGGGCAGATGTGTTTATTTCATTCGGCTTACAATTCCTTACTAAATGTAGTATTTCATCTTGATGTACTCCTTTGATATGATTTAAATCAAATTCCTCTTCATTATAAATATCACAAATACACATCAAATAGTTTTCTGGTTGCAATTTTCTAATTTCGACTATGCTTAATGTATGCTTTACGCATGCGCGTGTTGAAAGAAATGTTTAATAAAGTAAACAAATATTAAGCTTTTTTTTTTTTTTTTTTTGTAAATTTTGATACCCTTTAGATCATAATTGCTCTTTATTTCATAAATTACGGTTTCATATTTTTAATTTTATAATTTCTGCATGCCATCTTAGCAGATTTAAATTGATGATTTATAATCCGGAAAAACCAATAATCCGGAATCGCCGAAGTCCCGATGAGTCCAGATTAAAGACTTTTGACTGTATAACAAAAAACTGAGAACACGCACAGTCGTCAAAAATATGTACATATCCAGCTATATAGCATTCTCTGTCAGACAACAGCATGTATTGTTTTGGATTTGTCTGCGCAAATGTTCCTCCTCTGAAGGACGGACTGTGCACGACAGTACTGAATCATACACTGTAAAATATATATATATATATAAGTAAAGACATACAATAAGAAACTTAGAACTAATTTTTCAAAAAGACCAAAAATTGAAATTTGTTATGTATGAAATTTATTACTTATGAATTTCAATTTTTGGTCTTTGTGAAAAATTAGTTCTAAATTTCTTACTTTATGTCTTTACTGATAAATTTTCAGCACCTTAATGCATGAAAATACTAAGCATGATTATATTTTGTTTTTTTTAAAAAAATTGTTTTGTAATTATATATATATGTATAGATACAGATATTCACAGGGAAAATCCCAATTTCAGATGATATACAAACAGCAAAACTTCAAAACCACATAAAAAGCAATGCAGCTGTATTTAAAATAGCAATACCAAAAGGTGAGAAAAAAAAACTTTGTAATATTACCGTATTTGACGGCATATAAGACGCACTTTTTTTCCTAAATTTGGTCTCAAAAAATTTACCTGCGTCTTATACGTTAAGGTAATTGCATTCAATAATTGTTTATTTGGCTTTTACGAAACGTGAGAACTAAAAGAAACCACGCTATTGAAACTTTTTTTCCTTGTGTATGGCCGTCTAAATAAGGGTGTGTCTTATATGCCAGTGCGTCTTATATGCCGTCAAATATGGTACTTTTTCATAAAATATTGTCATATGGAGGCTTGTGAGCTTATTTAATAGTATTATTACACATATAATTTAATTAATAAAATCATAGTTTATTTATTTCACTGGATCACTTGGGCTAGATGATTTCAAAAAGTATTTCCTTTAAGTAGAAATACTTTTTATTTTGCCACGAGACCAAATCCACTTATTGAAAACAAAGACTTTGGAAGCGGTTTCCTTCAAGATGACCAAGCAAAATTCTTCAATTACTGAAACAATGAGCAAAAACTGAATTTTAACATGCATCGTAATGGAAAAACTGCAACTTGGCCAATGGTAGACAATATGCTAATATGCTTTTCATTTCCTTATGTGGAAGTATGCAGCAATCATAACAAGTGAAAATCAAATTTAAAGTCTCAAAATTATTTTTTAAATTAAGAAATTATACTTTAATTACTCAAGACAAATAGATGTAATTTTTTATAAAAGCTATCGCTTATGCTGAATTTCTATATAATACAAGAAACTACTTTCTACTATATACTAAAATAAAGGTTTTAAATCAAAGAAGAAAAATAATTAGAGAAATAAAAATTTTTAGATGTGCATAACTACTAAATTCAGTAATATTTTGGAAAACTATTCCAGATTTAGAAACTGCATTGAAGTAAATTTACACAAACATTAACTATAGCTATTTTAAATGTTTAGAAGTATTTTGAAGGGTGCTACTTGATTTTCACAGCCCCATTATTCAAAATGGTACCAAGATTAAGCTTAAACTACTTGTGGCTACTATACCTCTGCAGCTGCTTTCATACGGTATTAAAAAGCTTACCTTTCCCACAAGATTTCCACCATATGAATTCCAAAAGCCATGAAGCCAGATAATGTCAAGCCATATTTTTTTTTTCCACTATTTAATAGAACCCCACAATTTTTCTACATTTTGGGTGTGAAATTTTGAGTAAATTTATTAAAATAAATTATGTTGTCTTTAATACATATTTCAAAGGAACAACTAAGAAAATCAAAGTGATATATTTATCACTGAAGTAAGACTGAAACTTTAATCCTGCTAACATTTATAATGTTGTGTTGAAATTCTAATTTCACTATAAATGTCTGAACATTAATCTTTTGTTTCTTAGGTTTAGAGAAAATTAAACAACTTGAATTCCTTTTTTGAAATATAAAATGTGCTAAACAGTCCATTAAATTAAAAATATTTTTTTATTTTGTAACATAATTAACCTCACCTAACAGAACAGCATATATATAGATATCCATTTGAAAGTTTTTTTAATTGAAACTTAATTTTAAAAATAATGGAAGCATAACCATTCTAAGAACCTATATATTAGCCCCTTAAGCAGAAAGACTGCATTTATTTAATTTAAATATTTAGTTTCCTTTTTTCTTATATATGGATAGTTATGAAAACAAGAACAAAATAATCATACAAGTCTAGCTAATAAAAGCTGCTTAAAAAACAATCTTCACAAGCAGATCAGAAAGGTTGCTCAGAGGGTTAACCTTTCTGGACGTACTGTTTCTGGAAATTTTGCTCATAGGGTTAACCTTTCTGGACAAGATGTTTCTGAAAATCCTGCTCAGAGGGTTAACATCTTTGCAACAGCTAACACATTTTACATTTCGAGATTTAACAATGATAAATTTGAATCCCAATTTCATCCAAAAATTATTAAATATTAATTTATATTATATATTTTTATTATAATACCATTTTTAGGACATAAAATTCTGCTTCAGCGGGTCCTGAAAGCTGAACTCTGTTAGCCATATCACTCAATGACAGGGTCAGAAATGTCTGTAAACAATAACATAACATACATATGAAAGAAAAATATAAAATCCCTAATTTAATTCTACTTCAATATATGACATGTCTAGTAATTTTTAAATATCTGATATTTATTACTTTCTTTTTTGTCCAAAAATTCAGAAAACTGTTGGCTTGATCAAATAAGGTAATTGTAGAGATTAAAAAAAAAAAGTATATGTTTCACCCATATATAAACTTATTATATTTACTTAGAACAAGGCATAAAGATTTCGTTTTATGTATTACATAATGCACAGCTACTAACTTTAAAATAGGAAAAACCAGGAGTTTCTGGAAGCTTTTCGCCATTTCAAAAGATCTCCAAATTGACATTAATTCACTTTATTATATGCATGATCCAGATAACTGAACTATTTATAATGTGATTCTAATGTAAAGTACATCAATATTTAATTGAATAGTCTAAATTTTATGTTATTTGATTGTCATTTTGTAAATTTTTTATGCTTTTATACCGGGAAAAGTTACTCTGATCAAGGTAAGCACTGTGTTCTGCCATATGTTGGGCCCAGGTTTGAAGGAATCTTAGATGTTTACATGAGTGTGGCATGTGGGCACTTAAAATTATGGTTAAGTCCCCCCCCCTCTCAAAAAAAAAAAAAAAGAAAGAAAAAAAAAAGAAAAAAGAAATTGGGAAAAAAACTGGAAGAGCTTGGAAAAAGTGGACAATCTTCCATGGCACTCCATAAAGGGATAATTTACTGATATTGTTTAACTTATTTGAAAATAAATGTTTTATTACTTCTGTAATGAAATGCATAGCAATTACATAATTTTCCCCAAAAATCAAATGAAAATTGTGATATAATTCTTATTGATTTACAGAATTTTACATTGAGTTGATGATAAAGGATTCAATTTTCTTTTACATTCTTTCTGAATAAATATGTTAAGTTCTGTCTGTTACAAACTGAAATTCAGTTTCAAAATTAATCTATACTTACATATGTGAAAACAGATGCCTCAGAAAGCATAAAAAGTACATATATTACCAAAAAAAAGGTTATAACAGGCATACATATAATGAAAATATTTAAACTGATGAGTAGCATGATTAGCACTGTGTTCTGCTATATGTTGGGAATACATGCTGTGCTCTGCCATACGTTGTTGCCATGTGTTGAAGAATGAAATGTAATAATATTAATATATAGTAAGGAAAAAATAAATTTCTTCCAACCAATTTTCTTAACAATGAGAAAAAGGTTGGAATGTGTTGACAATATATCCAAAACATTAAATCTTGCATGGTAGAAAGGAATGTATCATTTCTGAATTTCACATGAACTATGTATTATTGTTGAAATAAAGGTTCAGCAGGATTAGATCAAATTTTCTTCTTTTTTTGAATTTATTCATTTAAAGTTTCAAAAGAGGGTTATTATATGCAGTAACAAAAAATATTGTTTTATTACACTATTCTTGTAATGATGTAGATTCAATTTTGAAATTTTTCTTTATTATTTCAATTTTGATTTCTAGTCTTTCTAAATAACTGTTATTTTTATTACTGAAATTCGCCCACCAGTGGCCGAGCGGTAAAGTCGCTGAACACTGGTAGTTCGGTCCGAGGTTGGAATCCCGCGAACGGGCTGGTTGCATGGGCATTTTCGTGGTTTTCCCCATGTGTAACATGTATACGAGCCAGTTTCCCTTAGAAAGTCCTCCACGAAGGCATCCCTCCCCTTAGGCAGATAGCCCTCGAGGCTTTGCCATAATTACACAAACAAACAAACAAATATTACTGAAATTCAGTTTCAGAATCTGATATTTATATATGTGAATGAAATCTCACAGAAAAAAAAAGTGAACAAAAATACATTCTTATTCTTCAGTGTTTATGAAATATATAGATAAAAGTTGAAAAATTTCAAATTGGGATGATATATGTTATTAAAATCATGCAGTTTGCTGCAAAATTTAATCAAAAAATTAAATCATGGAGAGTGGACTATTCTCTAATAGGAAATAATGTATTAAAAACATAAAAAACAAATAAAACTAAAAAGGACAAAATGTTAAAAAAAATTTCTTGGTTGTTCTCAAGAAACAACCAAAGAATTTTTGACACAGGAATGTTTCTGAATTATATCAAACTGATTGTTAATATTGGAAACATTTAAAAAATATACAGAAAATGCCAATAAAGAAAACTTGGTTAAAATTAAGAAAAATTTAATTTTCATTAGTGCAACAAAGTAAATTGTTTACATTTTTTTTTTTTTTTTTTTTAAATTTAGTTAATCATCAAACATAACCTGCTTCAATGTAACCCAAAAAAACAATAAATATTTTTAAAAAGGGAAAAAGTTCTTGCGTAAACAACTAGGAAAACAAATAGTAACAAAACAAATAGTAGCTAAAACAAAAGTAATCTGTAAGCAACTTGTAAAATAACCAATTAATTAAATTCTTGAGTAAGAAACCTGAAAATTCACTGGATAAATCCAAAGCAAGGTGCTAATAATATATATACAGTACAAAGTCCGTAATCCGGACCTCAAAGCCGCACTTTTTTTTGGTATGCTTTACGCATGTGCGTAGTGTGTTTACGCATGCGTTAGCATGTTTACGCATGCACGTTTAATGTATAACGGATGGTATAAGCTAGGCTAAAATTATCTTTACTGATTCTAAGGCATTTTAGTTAATGTTGCAGATTGCGTTGTCCTTAATCTTCTAACTGCATTCGGCTTATTATTATTATTATTATTATTATTATTTTTTTTTTTTTTTTTTTTTTTTTTTTTGCAGACTGTTGTTAGACGGCAATTTTATTAAAAATTAAGCTGTGAACTTTCAATTATGTCAAGAAAGAGTTTGCAATTCTGAAGCTGCCAAAGGATCTACAAAGCGAAGCCATATTTCAACATCCATCAAACAAAAAGTGGAATTGCTGCAAAAATGGATAAAGGCATATCCATCTCAAAATTATGCGAGGAGTATGGCATTGGATGACACAAGAAAAAAAGAAAAAGGAACTTTTTGAATTTTTTCTGGAAGCATCTTAAACAACTTACATTGAAAGAAATGTTTAATAAAATAAACAAATAAATATTAAGCTTTTTTTTTTTTTTTTTTTTTTTTTTTTTTTTTGTAAATTTTCATACCCTTTAGATCATAATTGCACTTTATTTCATAAATTACAATTTCATATTTTTAACTGTATAATTTCTGCATGCCACCTTACCAGATTTAAATTGATGATCTATAATCTGGAAAAACTCCTAATCCGGAATTGCCGAAGTCCGGATTACGGACTTTGTACTGTATATATATTTGAATTTCAAACCAAAGGAAAAAACAAAACTGCTAAAAAACTTTACTAATCAAAATAAACTGTTGTAGATTGAAAGCTGAAATTTTTTTACCCGCCTGCCTGATTACTCTGAGTTATCTTGGATATTGCAGTTAATTATTATCATGAGAAAACTCAGGCAAAGCACATTTTGTCAGTACAATTTGTTGTATCACGGTTTTATTCAGCATGGAGGAAATGAAAGGAAATATTCAGCTTTGATTGGTAGTTTGGCAAATTTTGTTAGTTTCGCAGTTCTTTTGGCGGGACTGATCACGTGTTTTCTCTACTGTAAAGTATGTTGGCTTGTAGATTAATAATGTATCAAGAAGGATAGTTGCGTTGAAAAAAGTAAAATAATGGCAATGATGCAAGTTAGCGAAAGAAATTATTTTTCAGATAGTGATTATGAAGAGGTACACATTTTCCAGATGTTATTCCTGCTACTGAAAAAAAAATCAAATCTAACGAGACAGTGTATTCTGTGCTCCCGTAAATGAGATTCCAGAGGTAAGCCAATAAGAAAAAGAGACCAGAATGTCTGGTATCACTTTGTGTTGTCCCTTGTTTCAAAACTATCTATAATACAAAGATCAATATTTAACTTTTTTCATTTGCTCAAGATAACTCAGGATAGTAAACTAATATTAAACCTAAATGCTTTTTTACACCTGTAAAAAAATTCAACTTAAACCTACATATTTTGTTCCTTGTATTTAATATTAAAATTTAAAAATGTAATGATTTTTTGTAATTTTTTTCAAAAAAATTTGTAAGGGATGTGGTTAAATCAAAATGAGGAAACAATTTAATTCCAAATAAAATAATTAAAAAAAAATTAGTAAGAATTTAAAATTGGGCTGAAAAGTTTCTGAATTGGAGAATAAAAATGGAAGGCTTATAGCCTAAAAGATAATATGTCTGAAATTAGGAAAAATAAAACTGAATAAATTCAAATAACTAAATTTGAAAAAGGCTCAGCTGAAAAAAATCTGAATTAAACAAAAAAATCCATGTGGTGTATTCCAAATGAGTAACTCTTGATAATTTTCTCAAAGAAAGAGTTGGGTTAAGTTACAGCTGTGAAGCTGGAAAAAAAGGAAATAATAAAATGTAAGAACTGGGTTGAGATTCAGTAACTGATTAGTCTGAAAAATAAAAACATGCCGTAAAATAGTAAATTAAATTAGCATAATTTCATAAAATTAAATAAATTACAAAATTTAGTGTGAAATCGTAATTAAATATGAAAAATCAGAAAATTTGAAAATTTTTTTCAAAAAAGTTCATCTTTTTTGATAAACTCTTTTGAAAAAAAAATTAATTTTGAAAAATTGCTTAGAAATATTAATTTTAAGAAAGAAATTTAAAAATTTTATATAGTAGTCAATTTATTAAAGCATACAAAGTTATGTAGAAAAAGGACTGGTAATATGGGGAGTAGAAAGTTTCGAAAAGGAGAAAGTCAGCTAACAGTAGAGAAAGTCTTCACCTATTTGGCTTATGATAGGACCGGAACAGAAATGGCCATTTATTAGCAACAAAAATGGAGGGACTATATATAAATTTGCAAGTGTATTTACAATTGTTATGCATCCAGTAAATTCCTCGAGACTGGCTTAAATAAATCCTAAGTAACAATAAATTAAAATTAAAATGAATTAATGTGCAATTTTTGGAGAAGTAAGTTAATAAGATTAAATGAATTAGATTATTTGAAATTCTTGATCTTCTTCAACTGAAGTGCAAATATTTTTTATTCTTAGAGTCTGAATGATAATGATGTCAGCAATAACTTTTTTTTAGAAAGACTGAAATTTCAATGCATGAGTTTATTGGTAGGAAAGTTAAAAAGTCTTTTTTTTTAATAAAAAAGTTTAACTACTTTTGAGAATTTACAGTTGAGGATTTTAAGGTCAAGACAATCAATTTCATTATTATTGGAAATGGTTTAAATGCTTAGTATAAATAATAGTTGCTTCAATTAACTCAAAATTACTGAAAGTGATACTGTAATTTAAAAATAGGTTCCAATAGTAATACCATTAATTTATAGGAAAATTTTATAATTTGATTTGTTAAATTTATAAGAAATTGAACAGTTAGGATAGGTAATCAATTCACCAAAATTAAATATGTTACCGAGCGCTGGAAATAATTCATAAATTTGGATAAGACTATTATAAATTTTTTTAAGAAAAGAGAGGTGTAACAATTTTCAAAATCATAACTGTTAATGTAATGATTTTATCTGTTTTGATCATTTTTTAAATTATTTTTAATAATCCAGTAATGGTTAAGGAGCAAATTGGAATCATGGGCAATGTTTAAAAATCTTATTAAAAATGTTATTAAATTTCTTTTTATGAAAAATAAAATCTATGCTCTTTTCATAATTTTTGGTATCTCTGGCAATAAATTTAAATGGTGTTTCATGAAATCTGGGAAGAGCATAAAAATTAAGAAATTTGTTATGAAAAGTTTTATTAGAAATTTTTAATTTTTTGTGGAAATTGTTAAGCTTTTTAATAATGCTTTTTTCATTGTAATTGGAAGCTTTGCAGCTGATATTATTATAGAGTACAGTTTCAATTAATTCATATTAGAAAGATTTTCAAATGATGCTAACTGATTTTTAAGTATCTGTATATCATTAAAAAGTTCTGGATATTTATTTTGAAGATTATGAATTTTGATATAGTATATTTATTTTTTAATCATTTTAATATTTTAATAATCTTGTTTTTCCATTCTATAAGGGTACTAATATGGGCACTAAATTTATAACTGGATTTAACTATGTATTGCTGATATTATAGACATGTTCCAAGCATCTTTTATTACTGATTATATGTGTAAGATGAAATTTAGTACCTAGCTGCGAAAGATTTCTGAGTTCAGGATTATCAATAATTTTCTATGTAACCTGTAATAATATATTTATGAAAATTGTCAAAAAAAATTAATATATTTAGAATCTTGTCAGTACCAGATATTATTTTCATAAATTTGGCTAAGGTTTTTAAGATCAAAGAACCTGAGGTTTTTGTATACTAGAAGGAAATTCTAGTATGGACATTAGAAAATGGGGAAAATAATTTATTATTATGTAAGATTAAAAAAAAATTAATTTGATTAAATGCTGTATACAAGAAATGATGAAATAGTTGTCAATAATATTTTAGAGAGTAATTTATATTTTAAAAATTGGCAACTTCATCTCTAATAATACACTACAGTCTTTAATCCGGACTCGTTGCTGACGAGTCCGGATTAGGGGTTTTTTCGGTTTATAGATCATCAATTTAAATCTGGTAAGATGGCATGCAGAAATTATAAAATTAAAAATATGAAACCGTAATTTATGAGATAAGGAGCAATTATGATCTAAAGGGTATCAAAATTTACAAAAAAAAACCCTTAATATTTGTTTACTTTATTAAACATTTCTTTCAATGTAAGTTGTTTACGTTGCTTCATTTTTTGTGCTAATACTTTCTCTTTAATTCTGCAGACAGACATAATCTCTTGTTCAGTTCAACTATTCAAGTCCTGTAATTGCTGTGTCGAGAATACCGACTAACTTGTCAATCGAAATTTTTTCGTTTTCAATAACCTCTCTGTTACTTTCTTCACTATCGGAAGCGGTACATAGAAACATGCTTTCACTTTGTAGATCCTTTGGCAGCTCCAGAATTGGAAACCCTTTTTGACATAATCGAAAGTTCAAGCTTATTTTTTTATAAAATTGCTCTAACAGTCTGCAAAAAAATAATAAGCTGGATCCAATTAGAAGATTAAGGGACAACGCAATCTGCAACATTAACTGAAATAGATAATTAGATAATTTTAGCCTAAATTATACCGTCCATTATACATTAAATGTGCATGTGTAAATGCATTATGCACATGCGTAAATGCATTATGCGTTTACGCATGTGCAGAAAGTTTATAGCTTTGAGGTCCGGATTATGGACATTTGGATTAAAGACTTTGTACTGAAGTATATTTTGGTGTGTATCGACAAAGTTGTTTTTCAAGAATTTTACAATTTTTATTTCTCAATGAGAAATAAGTTTTTAATGTTAAGAATAAAGTTATTACGGTTGTTAAAATTTTCAATGGATTTAACAATATTACATAAATTAGGGGAAATGTAATTATTGTTATTACTTTCAGCTCAAGTGACTGTTTTAATTTTGTTTTGAAAGATTTTAAAATTATGACATATACAAGAGTTGTTTTGATTTTTATAATGCTGCTCATGAAGAAATGAATTTAATCCTTAAAGGGCTTAGTCTGAGTAAGCAAACAGATTCTAATAAAATTCTATTTTGGGGTTTGGGTATGTCTAAAATTTCTATTTTGAGCTATGTCTAAAATTTCAATTTTTATATTTTCAAAACTGTATTTAAAATTAAAATGTTCTACTATGTAACACATTTGTTACTATTATTAGAGCTATTATCAGTGAATTCCTTAATTAATGCACAATGATTATGAAATTCTGAGGTTAATAGTGTTTTAGGCTGTCCAACATATTGTAAGTTTTAGATATTGCAGGTGATCAGATAAATGCAACTAAATGTTTTTCAAAGTGACTAAAGTGACATCTGGGGTAGGAGGGGTGCTACTTTTTTACACAGGTCAAACAATAGAATTATTGCATTCCTTTATATTATTTCTTTTTAACTGAATAAATTTGCTCAGTTAATTGTATTGTGCACCTTTTCTTTCTTTTTTTATTCATTTATTCATATACCTAAATAATTATCCTTTGGTTTATAGAAACCTGAATCAGAATCTGCTAAATCTCAGAATACTGAGGAACTGCATTGTGAAACACAACATAAAAGTATTTTCAAAATTGTAAAGTTCTGCGCCGAAACCCTTCCAATTCAAAGTATTCCAATCTACCAATATTTGAGAAAATAAACACTAATAAAAATGAAACAAACATTTAAAAAAAATAAAAGAAAAGAAATTGACATGTGCATTTTTGAAAATTTTAAATATACTGTCATCTTCAGCGGTTAGCAAATAAAAATAATGTTATCAAAAAATACAATTTTTTTTTAGTGTTCCTGATTATATTACATGCCATAAGAGTTATATATATATATATGAACTCACTTTAGTTAACCTCTGAATATTTTTCTTGTATAAAAAGGACACACACTGTTTCACAAGTCCCATATTATTATCCTACAAAAAGAATAAAAGAGAGATTTTATATTCCACTTTCAAGTCAATTACTTTTTTTTACCAGATAGCCTACTGACTTTGGTAACAATAGCAATTAGCTAGTAACTATACCTGTCATAGATCTTTTTATTGAATAGTTATAATTCTATGCAAAAATAAATAAAATATATATATTGTTAAAATTTAAAGAATGCTTACCCTAATGAATATTTCAGTATGTTTAGATATTGCATTACGAACTTCAACAGGACTATTTGAAGAATATACAACAGCTAAGTCATGATACGGTTGACTAAGAGGCTATATAAAATACATTTTACTTAAGATTCACTGAAATTTTCATTCACATGTTTTGTACAAACTAAAACACAATTGAAAAGAATAGCACTGAATAAACATATAAAAATAGGTTCACTACATAGGAACCAGAAAAAAAAAAAAAAAATAGTAAACCTTTATAAATCTTGCAACAACTTGGGATGTGAGTTTTGGAAGGTTGGGAACCTAAAAGTAAGTATCACAATTACTAAAATTACTTCAAAATAAAATAATTTTACTTATTATAAATAAACACAGAAACAAAAATACAAACCTTCCCATATAATATCAGGGATACAAGTATGTATTTCTTATAAGCTTCTAACATTATGTGACTCACAGCCATACTTGGAGTTGTAATTACCTTTAAAATAAGAGTAATAATAATATGTGAAGAACTGAAACTGCATTAAAAAGCAACTGCATTTATTGTTGAAAGCATAATAAAAAAATGCTCGGAAAATTTGTAGGGAAAAAAATATTAATAAATTACATTCTAGCATAAAAAAAGTTTCTGAAACAGTTACTTCTTCAAATAAATTACTCTTAAGCACTTAAATACAGAGTAAATCAAAATGAATGCCCCAATTTCACGGGTGCACTATACAAAATGTAATAAATATATTTTATTAAAAACATACATACATGCAGAGAAAATAACTTTTGAATGAATTCCTCACAAATGTTCAATATGCGCTCCTTTTATTAAACGGTATACATCAAGTCTCAAATGTAAATTCTTGTAAAACTTTGCACAGCATGTCTATATCCATGCTGGCGATAGCAGCTGTGATATGGGCTTTCAAATCAGTCATGGTCCTTGGACCTGGAAGCACATACACATGATCTTTTACAAGCCCCCAAAGAAAAAACGTCGCATGGGGCGAGATGTATGGATCATGGTGGCCAAGGGAAGAATGCATTGTCTGTGGTAGGTACACAGCCAATCCACCATTGTGTTAATGTGTTATTGAGGTGCTTCTGCACTTCAGTCATAAAATGTGACTGACAGTGCATCATCCTGCTGCAGAATAAAGCTAGGCATATAATCTTGTAGCTATGGCAGAAGCCATAATTTGAGCATATCAAGGTACACATCTACAGTTCCTTGACTGTAGATGTTTTCATGGGAAATTGCACAAAACACATTAACCTCATGGGAACCACATTGGTATTGCACTGGTGCATGTGAATGTTCAGTATCCCAAATTCTCAAGTTATGCTTATTTACTAATCCAGAAATGTAAAAAGTTGATTCATCACTGAATATAGGACCATTCCTAGGCCACTGGCTGCCCACATACTTCTGCTCCCAAATTTAAAAAAAAAAAAAAAAAAAAAAAAAAAAAAAAAAAAATGCTCAATGATTAATAAGATTTTTATATCATACTAAGCATTTAGATATAACAAATTGTATAAAAAGTTCTTACACATGACAAGTACTTACAATGAATTTATAGAAATTAAAATATTTAGGCTTGTTAGTGCGAGAGTCTGGCCACCCCTGATTTTGGCCACCTGCACACTTTTACATGCTGCACCCCCATTAGCAACGGCCCTGACTGAATACCAACTTTTTCAAAAATCTGCCATCTTCTATGTGCACCAGAAGTGTCTCACAGAAAGATAATTGACGTGGCAGAACTTCGGGTTTCAGATGTTGCACCAACTGGAAACGATATGTTTCATTTGCCAACGCCTCCTAAGAACTCTCCATACAGTTTTCAGGGCTACTACCAGTTCTCATCCAACTTGATATGTCTATTTTTAAGGGCTTCTCACATTGCTGCTCAACTATGTCTTCGATATGCCCAACTATATCTTCTCTTACTGAAGAAAACCTGTTGATTTTCCTTTACAAATGTAGTCTGTCTCTTGAAATTTTGCATCCCAACGATGGATTGCCTTATGATCCAGTACTGTCTGTACATATTTTGTTCGAAACTGGCACTGAACAGTGACAATAGACTTGCTAACATGAAACTGAAGCACAGAAAAAGCCTTCTGCTGTTGCGTCGCCATTGTATAAAGGCCTTTTTCTGCCCATTTTGTTTTCGCAGAAGCACTGATGACGATTGGACTTCCAGTGCCATCTGTTGGTGACTATTCAAAACTTGCTTATATTACCTCTGCATATTTGTACATTTTTAATGAATATATTTATTACATTTTGCATATTACACATATGAAATTGAGGCATTCATTTTAATTCACTCTGTATTTGCATAATTAATTCATTTGAAGTCATCACATGTTAAATAAATTAATTATTTATTTAAACTATCTAAAAAAGTCATAAATATATATATATATTATATAATGATTTTAATGAGTTGACCACGTGTCATTTCATCGGTTCAGCTAGTAATTAATAATAATACAGGTTAAAAATTGGGTTTATTGCTTTTGAATTGCTTAGTCTGTGAACAACTGAGATTAAATTTGAAAGAAAAATTAAATATCATGTTTTTTGGAATGGCAACACATTTCCGTTTAGGGCACAAGGGACTTCCTAGTGTGCACCTTAAATAAGTTTTCTGATTCAACTTGAAACATAAATTTTATGTTTTGCCAAGTGGCAATACATTTCTATTAAATCGCCGAGTTTTCTAATTTGAAAAATAAATATCATTTGGCGAGTTACATTTTGGTGAGCACAACACACGGCTTTTAAATGATCAAGTTTGCTAATCAAAATGTCATTTACATAAAATATGAGATAAATCAAAAACAAATTCAATATTTGGGCTTAGAGGTGCATATTTTCAGGTCATGCGTGGTCAAAATTGATAGCTCTAGGTTAGTTTTTCCGTAATGTGAGGTACATATTTATATATAGTTTTCATTATTTAATAACAGAGATTCACATTCATCAATTAGCTGGCAAACTGCAGAATATATATGCAAAACTAAATATTACAATAAAAAAGCAATTCATTTTCCAAAAAATAAATAAATAAATAAATAAAATCCTTAGATGATATCAGTTAAATATTTGATATCACTTTAATTTCAGAATAAGATTTTCAAAAAAGTGTATAAACTACACACTTTAAAAAAAAAAAAAAAAAAAAAAAAAAAAGGAGCACATAGAATAATGGATTTTAAAATATTAAAAAAAAATTGGATAGGTTTTAGATTTTAAATTATGTTTAAAGGGGCGTTTTTTTTAAGCGTTTTGTGTGTTACATTTATTTATTAAATATCACGTTCTTTGCACCTTAAACCATAAAATTCAGTTCAACAGCAACATCACAAAATAGCTTTGAAATGAGCATATCCTTTAGAATTTCTGATACAGAAACTCACGCACTGGAGATAAAAATGTTTTTTCTGTACAACGTTGCCATGGCTCGATTTGAAATCCTTGAGTGTGTTAATAAAAAATTTGTTAAAGTTTTACAAAATATGAAATTGACAATAAAACAAATTCCAAATTTCAAAGTTGGTCTTCCAAATGCCCCTATTCGTAGGATGATTACATCATTCAAAATTTGATGGTTCTATGTACCACTGTTTTATCACAATACGAGAAATATATATACATTTATACAGATTTTCTAGCATTTAATTTCTTCAAATATAATGCAGGACTCTAACATTTGGTGGTAACAGTTTGAAAAGTGAAACGTACATTTATAGTGATTCAAGGCAAAATCGCAAAACAAAAACAATAGTCCTTCAGGGACAAAGCATCTTTGGACTAAAAAACAGCAGCTTTTGAACTATAGAAGTTGAAGCTCTTTCACATGATGAACATTCAGTTGGATTTCAGTTGAACATTTAGTTTAATTTCTACAGTATTTTTATAACATTTCTCATAGTGAAATTAAATAAAATAGTTTGAAAATAGTTTCAAAATAGTTTGAAAAATAACTGAAAACTGCAAAATCCTAAAAACTCAATTCTTAAACCCTTAGGAATCTGTGAACCACAATTTAAGAATCAATATACTTGTGACTTTATCAGTTAGGCATAAACTGAACATAAAATAATAAATATCTACTTACCACTTCAAAGAAGTACAAAGCTCTATCATATTTTTTTAAGGCTGTGTATATCATACCACCATAATAAAAATACAGAAGAAAATGCTTAGTATCATAGTTTCCATTCTGTAAAAAGGATTGGGAAAAATAACATTAAATATAAATAAATAAAAAAAAAAAGAGAAAATTTAAAAAATATTTTAAACTTAATACACATAATAGGATGCATTTGATACCTTAATAAATCTAATATAATTAAATCTCAATTTAGTAACTGTCAAAGAACTAATAAATTAGTTATCAGAAGTATTCTTAGAGAAAAGATTCTTTAATAATTAAATATAATTATTTCAGTTTTAAACATGTTAAAAAAATGCTGAATTTTTTCCTTTATCCCAATAAATTATCTATCAAAAACATGGCTATTATTGTGAAATAATAAGTCCATATTCTGGCTGCTGTTGCAGATGTTTTATTATTGGCTTAATGCTTTTTCGCCCCTACTTGCAAATCTGTTCAGAAGCCAATCAGTGATAAATTAATGTGGTTGCCACTGAATGGCTGATGACATAGTATCAGCTGATAACCTCACAGGATGTTTTTATACTATGGAGCTTGTGAACTCAGATATACTCACTTGCTTTTTCTTTTGCAGTGATTTCAATGTAGAGGCTGCTGTTGCAGACTAATTTTAATTTATGAGTAAAATAAAACTTAAGTTTGTTTTAGGTAAGTTCTACATTTTTATTTCTGAGGAGCAAAGTATGTTTTTCAATAGATTGGAAAGGTTATGGGCCCAGTAGCTCAGTGTTAAACGAATATATAAGTAAAGGAGGCTGCTATCAATTTTTCAATGATAAGAACATTTTTTACAATACCAGTATGTTTATACTTGAAAAATTCATATTTATATGCAAAGCTAAATAAAACCAGCCAGAAGGCTTTATGATGAGAAAAGTAAAGTGTTTATTACGCAAGACCATTCGCGACGTGCTTCAAAGCAGCTGTAAATAGTTTTATCCATCTGAAAATGTTTTAGAAAGACTAAATTTTAAGATAATAAAATTATAAAAAAAAAAAAAAAAAACTGAAAGCTTTAAAATTTTATTTTATATTACGCCCAAAAGGGTGTTTTTGCATTTAAGCATTAAAATTCAATTCAAATAGCAATATCACAAAACATTTTAAAAGAGCATATCTTTAAAATTTCCAATACACAGTGCAAAGCTAAATAAAACCACATACTGGAGATAAAAAAAAAAAAAAAAAAAAAAATTTTTTCTATACAGTATTGCCATTGTTCACTTCAAAATCCTTGAGGTTGAGGAATCACAAATTCTTTAATGTTTGACAAAACATGAAATCGATAATAAAACAAATTCCAGATTTCAAACTTGGACTTCTGGAGAAATACGTTATTCAAAATTTGATGTCCCTAGGTACTGTTGTTTTTTCACAGTGCGAGAAATATACATACATTCGTGGAGATTCTTCATAATTAATTTCTTTAAATATAATGTATGGCTCTAATACTTGGTGACAAAAATTTGAAAAGTGAAATGACACAAAATGCCAAAATGGAATCAATAGCCCTTCTGGGCAAATTGCCAGCTATGGGCTAAACATACTATGGTGTAATTGTGTTTATAAGAGCCTTAATGTAATTATCTCATTATATGTAGATGACACTGCAATTTTTAGTAAAGATAAACATTGTATAGATAAAGTAATCTCATGCTTGAGCAAGTTTATTTAAATATATTTATATTAAAGTATAGAACTAGAAAGTTACTTGGAATTACATTCTTACAAAACAACACACTTCATACATCAGCAAATGTGCACTGAAGAAATTTTTGAAAAATTTAAACACCTTCAGATACCAATAACTTCACTTTTCATAGCTAACGGCACTATTCTTATAAAATTAGATTGTCCATCTACAAGTGCAGAAGTTGATGAAATGCAAAAATTACTTATTCAAAATCTATTGGGATATTTAGTTTTTGTAGCTAACAGAACTAGGCCTGATATTGCATATGCAGTAAATATCTTATCCCAATTTTAGAACCTGGAGTTAGGCATTATTGAAATTTCTTGGCTATCTCAATAGTTCTAAATCATACAAGTTTAACTTATCAAGGATTAAACATCTAAGTGTATATTTTTATTCACATGCTAATTATGGAAGTAATACGGATGACCACGTGCACATTGGGTGTATTCATATTATATTTAGATAAAGTACTGTTAATTTGGAAAACTTATAAATAAGAAAGCATTATAAACACCATGGTTATATAAGCAGTTATACACCATGGAGGCAGAATATATCGCCTTATCAGAAGCTGCAAAGGAGTTGGTTAATGTGGATAAAAAAACATCTCAAAAGATGTTTAAAGTTCATTTTGAAAGAATGTAATTTTTTTTTTTTTTTTTTTTTTTTTTTTTTTGTAATCTACTGTAATAATAAATCTGCTAATGATTTTTCTAGATCACACATAGAAAAAAATTGAATTAAGCACATTGACATGAAATATCAATTGGAAATATTGACAGCTCTTGGACTCTTGGATCTGATCAGTAACAACAAAAGACTGGCGAGTGATGGGGTGTTTGACCTTGTGTTCATCTACAGTAAATTAAATAACGTGAATTTATTTACAAAAGCAGTAACTGCTATGCATTTGAAAAAGTTTTGTGTAACCATTTATAATATTCCATAAGTATTATGTACATGTTTATAAAACTGAAATATGTAATTATTATAATTCTATGCTTGTAAGAAGTCCCTTTTTTTTTTTTTTTTTTTAACTTTGCATTAGAAAAAAGTGGCTATTATTAGCTAATTATTCTTTTTCCTCAGGCAAATTTGATCAGAAGCCAATTGACCCTAAACTAACCTGGTTGCTGCCGACTGGCCGATGACATGTAGGAATGTATTTACTTTGGAGTCTGTGAACTTGTGAACTTGGATGTACTCACTTGTTTTTTTTCATTAGTTTTAATGTTGAGACTGCTGTTGCATTCTAGTTGTTTTAATTTAAAAGTAAAATTTTTATATAAGTCCCAGCATTTTTATTTCTGAAAAGCAGAGTATGCTTTTCAATAGATTGCTACACCTCCTACACCAAGATATATAAGAAAGCAAAATTCCTACCTCTTTACTAATATCTGTGATATCAATATCCAAAAACTGGAGAGCAGGCTTCATACATTTTGCTAATAAGCAGAGCTGAAAGTATAAATGTATTATAATGTCCCAATTTACTACAAAACATAGCATTAATATATCATGATATATACCAATCAAGCTACTAAAGATTAACTACAAAAGATATAGATACTAATGTAATACGTAAAATGAGAGATAGTATTGATATTTAATTTTAACTAAACTCAAAATGAAAATTAATTAATGAAATATATAAGAACAAAGAACTAATCAACAAGGGGAAAATGCTGAATAGTTCACATAACATTTACATTTGCTAATAATGTTATATATGTGTATGTATATGCACGAAAATTCTTGAAATGATATATTTCTTTATAAAAATTATGTATGTATATAAAGATGTATATACATGCACACACACACATACAAGGTATTTCACTTAACTGTGTACAAACTAAGGGAGGGATAGGTTACTCAAAAACAATTCAGAATTACATTGCAATGGAAGGAACGTGGAAACACAATCCTCACACACTAGTGTGCAGAGAAAAAAAAAAAAAAAAAAAACACAATGAAAGAGAAAGTTATGTGAATAATGATCAACAAATCCTTACAGTTGTGATATTCAGAAGTCATAGTAAGTGTATGAAGTTGCAAACACTAGCTATGATACAAGTTTGAAACCAGCACAGCACAGAATCAGACTTTTTAAAGCATACCAGGAGTCTCACGAATGATCTCGCTAACTATGCTAATACAGATGACAAGGTCTTCATCAATGGCCACAGGTTTTTTGTATACCAGGCTTTTCAAGTTATCCCAGAGAAAGAATCCAGAAAAGATAGGTCTGGGGAATGTGCAAGCCAATGAAAAGGACCACCATGAATAAATGTTGAATTCAAGTGTTGCTGAATGTAAAGCATTCATGCAATGCCTTCCCTGCTAAAGTATGCCTGGTCATTGAACAGGATAGTAGCCAGAAAATGGGGTTCTATTGCATACTTCTGCTTGTACCATTCAGCATTTGCAAATCATAATCAGTGGGAAGTGATTGCTCTACATGCTGCTCATGGTATCAATACAAGTAGTTCAAGTGAAGTATTTGCGAGATGATGGCTTGGGTAACATCAAGGTCAGTAGTGGTTGCTCATGTGCTGACGTGTGGATTCCTTTCAGCCTAACAAAGCACCATCTCTTTTACTTCAGTTATCTGCATCGTTCATTCACGATTCCTTTGATTTGTTCTAAGAGATCCAATCCAGCATACAACAATCTTTGATGCAGCCATGCAAAGATCTGGTGATTCAGAATCTGCCTAGTCAGGTACCACTTACTATATACAGGGTTCGTATACATTTCTGCACATAGAAAAAAAGTACTTTTAAGGATCATTAATGAAAAAATATAAGGACTTATCAGCGAATGGGAACATTTAAATTCAATTAAATATATTATCTATGCCTGAACTTCACTTCTGTAACACCACCCTAAGAATAAAATTGCTCCATAAGTAGGATACATTATTATTAACACATTGACTGCCCAACATGAGATAACTTGCATTAGCACTCTTCTTCAGGACACCCAACACGAGTTATCTTGTAGTTTCTTGATTTGCCATTTTTGCCCACTATGAGCTACTTAGTCGCTTAGCGCTTGAGGCGACGAGTCGAAGCATGTCTGTATGAATCAACTCGTAGTGAGCTTCTGTGAAGAGCTTTGACTAACAAAAGCTGACTACGAGATAATTTGTAAGACCCTTTTTTCTATAAAAAAAACATCCTTTAAACTTTTTAATGATTGTTATGAATCATAATTAGTATTTTTAATAATATAATATGATTAAATCAATTTGGCTTCTCGGACCGGAATCCGAAAAGTATTGTGGCAGTCAACGTGTTAAATTTGAAAATTTTTATGTCATATGTCCCCTTAAATAGAAGAAATTCAAGTCACATAAGAGAATGCAAATCTTAATTTTCTAAAATTAGTATTGCTTTCTCCAACATAAATCAAGTTTTTTAATATAACATATCACAACAATATAAATAAAATGAACATATTTTAGCATAATTTGATTAATTTTTTAAAGTAAATTTATTTTTTTATTTAACTTTGAGAAAGATCTGCTTATACATACCTGACATAAATCTGCATGAATTGATGTCAACTGGGATGTAAAAAGCTGTATTTTGAGAATAGCTTTACAAAGAAGAGATATACCCCTCATGTACTGAAATAAAATGAAATTCGAAAGACATATAACATTAAGTACACATATACATAAAATTAAATTTAAAAAAAATTAAATCAAAATTATAACTTAAATTAATCAATTAATTTTCCATTTTAATATGAGTATTTCTCTTTTCTGTTCTAAAAATAGCAATGCTTATAATAACTTTTCCTGTACTGCCTCATTTCTAAATTAATCCACACCATATGACTTTTAGATAATGCTGGTGTAAAGTGACCATATGTCCTGATTTTGGCGGGACAGTCCCGCTTTTAGAAAACATCTGCATTTTATATTTTAAATGTACTGTAAAAATATATTACCTATTATTTATTAATTATTATAGTGAATATAAAGAAATAAAAAAACACACATAAAATGCATGCAGAGTAAACTAAATTAGGCGATGTAACGAGTTAGATTTACTCGGTGATGTTCAATCATTGTTATGTCTCGTCAAGGAATATGTATTGTTAACAGAGGAACAGCTAGCATTAGCTGAAGGGCTATTTGCTTTCCACACCACAAACTACAATCAAAGTTTCAGATCAATTGATTGTAAGTCGCAAATGATTAAAACATTGCACGACAAAAAATTTGCATGTGCAAGGACAAAAATCGAAGCAATTATTTGTAATGCTTTTTCACCATATTTGTTTTCACAATTTCAGAAAGAATTAAATAAATGCACATTTATATCAATATATTATGATGCTTACAATCACAAAGATTTAAAATTATTTCCCACAATTGTTAGACTTTTTGATCCAGAAACAGGAATTAAAATCTGAATATAAAATCCTTATCACATATGATTTGTTACCGAAACAAAACATTTGGTGGAACAGCTCTGAGAAACGCTCTTTGGCGAAAGAGGGTTACCATCTTCACTTGGTAAAGAGGCTGAAAGCCAAACAAGAATCAGTTATCGCTCAGATTGGTGAAAGTGGCGTTTGCTTCTTCGTGTTGTTTTGTATCACTCGTACTCTTTTCGTTTTAAACTTTATTGTTAGTAATGGAAGATAATAGAAAGGTGATTGCTATCAAATTAATCACTTTGATCTCCACTCTGGCACTTCAAGTCACAGATAAACACACTTCTGGTTATAGCAATCAATTACATCAGTAATAGCCAAATTCTGTTATACTAAGAATAATTTAAACGTGTGCTGGATAAGTCTATTTATCAGACATTACTAATGTGTATTTTCTGTTGTCTGCATTCCAATAAAAATTTGATGGCTCAGTGGAAAATTTGTGACCTGGTGAAAGCATTTTCTTGACTAACTTTATGGCTCATATTACTGTTCTATCCATTCAAACAAACAGACAAAAAAAAAAAAAAAAAAAAAGAGACCTTCTATGGCAAAAATCTATATGGCTGATATTTACATCCTCACAGCCAGCAGATACTATTTAGCAAAATGAAGATCAAATAAAGCATATGAATACATGAGCAATCAAACATATGTGAGTTGTTTACTGTCCCATAGAACACTCGGTAATATACTTAAAACACATTAATTATACCAACTATAGAAATTAAGGTGGTGCACATGATGAGTTTGTTTTATGTGATTACAGCAAAGCCTCAAGGGATATCTGCCAAACAGGAGGGAACGCTTTGCAGAAGATTTTTTAAAACTGGCTCGTATACCAGTTACAAATGGAGAAAACCAAGAAAACGCCCATGTAGCCACCCCGTTCGCGTCACTCTAACCTGAGACAGAACTACCAGTGTTCAACGACGCTTTGGCCACTAGTAGGCCCATGCACTTAATTGGAAAGTCCTTATGTAAACAGACATGAAGGTGATAATCAGTTGTGCACTGTTTTAAGTAATCAAATGTTATAAATGCACAGCTCAAACGCGGTCAAGAGCAGGAGACTGACGTTAATTATGAAAGGAGAAAGTAAACAGCTGTGTCAGGGATCATAAGGGGAGATATATTTTAAAAGAAAAGTGTTTTTAGGTCTCATTCAGTATCAGTATATCAGAAATAAAATCTTCAATGGAGCTAGAGTTCTCTGTTCTTCACTGTAAGTCTGTAATGTGTATAAGGATGCACATGGTATCAGAATGGAGACAAATTACATAGGATACGAAAAGCTATATTTATTTGTTTATTAACATTTCATTATTACATTGTTTTCGTTCAGGAATTTCCTTCCACCCCCCTCTGAGCAATACATACAGGTACATGTAAGTTGGCTGAAAATCACTGCTATAAACAAATAATCCAACCCAATTCCAGTTGAACAGCGCTTATTAATACTAATTGTTTACGGAAAGTATCCTAGTTTTTGAAAAGCTTTGTATCATCTAACATAAAATTAATTAATTAATCATCTTAAGAATGATTTTGTGTTGAATATGGCAAAACATATGAGGGTTGGCTAGGCATGATTTCATGGAGAATTTTCTAGGGAAAATGGGCTCATATTTACATACCTTAAGGAAATCCACGAAAATGCTTACACAAAGTGGTAGGTTGTAGTAGGGTTCCTTCAATCCATCTGTTAAATTTGCATCTAATTGTCAAGTGCTCCACCCTTTTTTTTGGCTACTTTATACATTCAAAGGAAAATACATGTTACTCACTGAACTTCGCACGTTAGTCTGAATAACCTTTAAACCCTATGAACAGTATATTTCTGTGACAAGGCGAGCTTTCTGACTGTACAATCTGTTTTACATTTAGCGAGCTTGTGACGAATAAGTTTATTCGCTATTTTATGTAATTTCTGCAATATTTTGTAATTCTTTTATTTTTTTCATTTAAATTTTATTTTTTTAAAGACAATTTCTTTTTATTCACAAATATTTATATTTTCTATTTTTCTAATAAGTGAAACATTTAATTAGATTCTGATATTTTGTTTTCATAAGATAAAGTACGAAACCTTTGTTAAAATTTTCATAGCTCACTGTAGTTCAGTGACCGTATTTTAAAGTGCCTTTTTTTTTTTTTTTTTTTTTTTTTTTTTTTTGTGAGTCCATTCATTCAATTTGAAACTTGGAAATGAATTAACAAATCAATCTTTCCATTCAATTGGTCCTATCGACTTGAATACAGTGAGCCTGAGTAAACGGGAGGTATCTTTCATAAATATAAAAACCATTATAAGCGCATTTCTAAATAATAATTTTAACGGGGATGGCTGTATTGGCATTTACGAGGTTTTCCTCGCGTGTAGCGTGCATAAGAGTCAGTTTTGCTTAGAAAGTTCTCCACGAGGCACCCTTACCCTTAGGCAAATAACCGTTGAATGCTTTGCTATAATCGAACAAATCAGACCAAACAATAGATATATAAATAAGTAGCTTAAGAAACTGCTATATTTTATGTATACTTATCAACTAGTACTTAAATATATATAATGATTAAAAGAAAGGAAAAAACGGATCCTAACTGATTGTATATAATGTAAACTCTATGAAGGCCTTAACAATTCTTTCTCACTTAAAGTCGTAACCCAAAAAGAGAACAAGTAAAATTTAACTTCAGATACGTATAAAGCCTGAGTAAAAACTTTAAGGCCAGTAAAAATGTTTGAGAAAATGGAAACATTTAAACTGAGGAATTAAAATACCATTTGATGGATAATTATTGAGCTTAAATAAAAGAAAAAAAGTAGGAAAAATTAATTTGCAAATATTTTATTATTAGAAAATATTACAGAACATACAGATGAATATTTGAGCCTGAGTAAAAACTTTAAGGCCAACATAGAAAATAACATATAATAAAAAAATTACAAATTCTTAGAAGGTTGTGTAGGAGCCATTTCTTCGAATTATTTCAAATATTCTTGTTTTCATGGATGAAACGAGTTTTTGATAAAGGGTGGGGTCGGTTTTATACCTTTAATCTTCGATAGTAGATTTCAGCTCTGTTGTTGATGTAAAATGTCTCCCATTTGCATAAACTCTTCTTGCTAAGTCACCCCAAAGGTTCTCGATTGGGTTGAGGTCAGGTGATCTAGCTGGCCATTTCACAGTTTCAACATTGTTGACTTGGAACCAATTTTTTGTGTAACTACTCGAATGGATCGATGCATTGTCTTGCTGATATTTCCAATTTTCTCCAGCAAGACATTCAGCATTTGGCAAAAGATGATTTGTTAGGACATTTTGGTATCCTTGTGAATTCCTTCTACCTGAAACGAATGCAACTGAGCCCACACCATTGTAAGCAAAACAGCCCCAAGTCATGACAGACCCTCCACCTAATTGGCGCTTGGAGAATATTTCTTTTTCATTTCTTATATCATGCCAGTAGGAATTCCAGCCATCTGGTCCATCCAAATTCCATTTTTTTTTTTCGTCAGAAAAAATAATTTCTATCCATTGGTTGTCCCAGGCCAAAGTTCAAACGCTCTATTTTGTGTCTGTGCAGTAACTTAGTCAATTTTGCTATATAAGTGAAACTTCCAGACCTTCTAATTGTGTTATAAATCGTTTTTCACAAACTTTTAAACCTGTCGTCAGAATCAGTTTCCTGGTTGAGTACTTTCTAGTAGATACAAGTTGGCAAACTCTTCTTTCATCACACGAGGACAAAGCTTTAGGCCTTCCTCCAGTATTCTTTTTACCATAATTGTCTTTCAATTAAAAAAAAAAAAAAAAAAATTGACTACAGTCTTTGATCTTCCTATCTTTTATCGCAATAGCACAACTACTCATTCCTGTTAAAGACAAAGCTTCGATCTCTCCTCTTTCACGATCAGTTAACTTCTTACCTTTCGCCACCTTCACAAAGATCATCAATACTTCGAAGAAACGTATGACAAATATGAAAATTGCAGCGTTGTCACAAGCTAGTAGTTGCAATGGTAATTACTTGATTATATTATATTTATTTTTAAAAAAATGACTGGTGGCCTTAAAGTTTTTACTCAGGCAGAAATACTAACTTTGTAAATAACCACACGTTTCTCATAATTATGGGTTTACAAATTATGCTTATAGCATTTATTTCTTATCAATGAACTTT